GGTTTGCAGATTAAAAATAACCATGGCCAAAATGTATCATAACATATGTAAGGTGTAGCATTAACACAATCACATTTTATAGAGGGACCCAGAAAAGCAATTTTTGCTAACTGTTGATCCTGCAAGGTGATCAATCATTTTTCCACTTTCTTTAATACGGTGACAACACTGTTCATTTTCAGTAAAATTGTGCATAACTGTTGCCATCCTGTGGGCAGTGTATCCTTAGATGGACTTTAAAGAGGAAGTAGACTCCTGAAGACCTGGACAAAAAAGGAAAGCAGAGGACAAAGGCCCATGCACCAGTAATCCCCCTGAAGCTAGTGTTTGTCCATTATTGACTTACTATGCCTTGTTCTTCACTGTGTCTGGGTGGAGGCTGCCATCAGGGTACATAACAGGGTTTGTCTTCCTCTTGTCAGATAGTCATCAGAGATCACCATGAGCTGCACAGTAGTGACATCACCAAATCTCACTCCATATCTCCAGAGACAGATAGCAGTGCCTTAGATCTCACACTATAGCTATACTATATTGCCAAAAGTATTGTAATGTCTGCCTTTACATGCACATGAACTTTAATGGCATCCCCGTCTTAGTTGGTAGGGTTCAATATTGAGTTGGCCCACCCTTTGCAGCTAGAACAGCTTCAACTCTTCTGGGAAGGCTGTCCACAAGGTTTAGGAGTGTTTCTATGGGAATGTTTGACCATTCTTTCAGAAACATATTTGTGAAATCATGCACTGATGTTGGATGAGAAGGTCTGGCTCGTAGTCTCTGCTCTACTTCCTCCCAAAGGTGTTCTATTGGGTTGAGGTCAGGACTCTGCAGGCCAGTCAAGTTCCTCCACCCCAAACTCGCTCATCCGTGTCTTTATGGACCTTGCTTTGTGCACTCACAAAGTTGGGAGCATGAAATTGTGCAAAATGTCTTAGTATGCTGACGCCTTAAGCGTTCCCGTCACTGGAACGAAGGGGCCAAGCCCAACCCCTGAAAAACAACCACACACTATAATTTCCCTCTCCACCAAACTTTACACTTGGCACAATACAGTCAGGTAAGTACCGCTCTCCCGGCAACCGCCAAACCCAGACATGGCCATCGGCCTGCCAGTCAGAGAAATGTGACTCCTCACTCCATAGAACACGTCTCCACTGCTCTAGAGTCTTGATTTTATACACCTGTGGCCATGGAGGTCATTGGAACACCTGAATCCAATGATTTGGAGGACTGGCCCAATACCTTTGGCAATATAGTGTATATAGCTAGGAAGCTATAGCCACAGAAGTGCCTAGGCACGCACTCATACCAGGAAGTGAGCTGGTATTGTTCAATAGGAATTAAAGATAAAAGGTAGACATTTCAAGGTATGTATTGCTTCAGCACAAACATCTCTAGATGTTCCTTATAATATAGAAAATCTTTACTTCCAGAGCTCAGGTCCAGTTTAAGTAAGAAACAAAAATAATGTCTAATGCCAGTTAAAACTATTTAGGCAGTTAGGACTCATTTACACAAGTGGCGCCCTCTAAAGTGCAGTGGATTTCTTTTCAGGGGGAATGTAACAGGTTCTGAGGAGGCATTATGATGCCTCCTTACTGCCCGTATTAACCCCTAAAAACCTGCACCACTGAATGGGTTACATTCAGTGAATGGTACTGTACAGCAAACTTGATAGGGGGATTGGGGGGGGGGGGGGGGCAATCAATTTTGCCTGGCTGCTATGCTCCATGGTATGTGTACACCCCACCCAGAGGTTTAAAAGGTGAGGGAATATTGTGGGGGGTAAACTATTTTTTTTCTTGTGGAGAAAAAGGTTTGTCTTATGAATAAAAGCTAACCACTGTAACTTTCTCTGCCAATGTAATATGGTGTGTCCCAACCCCTGTAACTTTCACTTTTGCTGAACAGTAGAATCTGTAATAGGAAGTAGAAAAAAAAAAAAAAAAAACTTCTAGCATGTTAAACTGGTGGTAAAACATTGCAGGGGTACTCAGAAAAACAAAATCATGTTAAAGCTATACACAGAATGTAATCATATGTTATATATTTTTTTTTTATTTTGGCCAGTTACAACATAAAGAGGAGTCTTAGCAATTCACAGTTTTGCAAGTCATTTGTTCAACTTTCTCTCTTGTGCCTTGCATTCGATCTTGTATTGATTTAAAAGAAAAAAAAAAAAAAAAAACAAAAAAAAAAAAAAACTTGGCTGCATTATGCATTGAGGTAAAAGGCTGCTTTGACAGTTTGTGCTTATCTCAGTACAAAGTCTGTTTTGCCACACTTGAGGAAGAATTGCATTCTAAGGGCGTTACCCCTCCACATTTAAATTTTAAAAAAGTTTTGTTTTTAAGCTGAACCAAAGCCATTATGTCATCATCAAGCAGATTAGGTAGGGGAAAAAGAAAAAAAAAAAAAAAAAACAGACAAAAGTTATGTAGCTCAACGTGCTTTACAAACACTATTACACAGACACATCCAAAGATTCTGTACACTATTAACAGTGAAATTTTATAATAAATTAAGTTTTACCTTGTTTCCCTAACTTTTGTCAAAATATATTCTGTAATGTTTACAAAGAAAAATATATCTAAAAATCAAGGTGAATGAGGATTTTTTTTTTTTAATAGATGAGAGGTAGGGTTGATTTTTTTTCAAGAAAAGGCAAGCCTATCACAACTACAAAGCTATTGAGGCAACATAAGAAAAAAAAAAAAGTGTCAACTGTATGTTGCCTGCATGCACCTTTTTTCCCCCAAATTATTTTCCATGGAATGTCCTCAAACCCATACTAGGTTATTATGCAAGTGACATCTTTAAAAGTGGTTGTAAACATTTTTTACCTTAATGCAGTCCCTGCATTAAGGTGAACATTTTAGGACTTGCTGTGCCCCCCCTCTAAATACTTACCTTACTCCTGGAATGATCCAGCACTGTACACAGCTGCTGTCTTCTCTCCTTCATGCAGGGATTGACAGGCTGCAGTGGGAATCATTGGCTCCTGTCAGTTAAAGCCAGTGAGGAGAATGCAGGGGGTGGGGCAGAGCCACACTGTGTGCGTCAATAGACGCACATAGACCACCTTGAGATAGAGCGCACACATCTGCCACCAAAGCAAGCAGCTCGCTATGGTGGCAGAGAGATGAAGCAGAAAGTGCCAACGGTAACCCCAAAAGGAGGCGGTTTGGGGCCACTATGTGCAATACCATTGCGAAGAGCAGGTGTTTATTTTAATTAAAAAAATAGACTTTAGAACAACTTTAAAGTGGTAGTAAACCGCATTTTAAAAAAATAAATAAATAATCCTGCAAGGTGAAGGCATAATGTGCTAGTATTCACGTTTAGGAGATATTCATTTTACCTACAGGTAAAGCTTTATTATAAGCTCACCTGTAGGTAAAATTATTAAAGAGTTTACTACAATTTTAAGCTCTAAGCCAAAGATCTGGAATTGAATGCATTATATGTGCTTTACTAACCTACCATATGCAGACTGCAAGGAGTTGCCTGGCAATCCTTTTGTTTCAGTGGCTTTAAAAATGTTCTACCTTACAGACCCTGAAAATGTAAGCAGACCAGCGTGCTTATTCCAACTCTGAAGACCAAAATATTGTGACTGGAGACAAACAGCCAAGTAAAGGTTTCACAAGTAGTCAGCAATGGTAGCCTTCATATTTCCCTCAGTACAGAATAACTTTAAAATTTACAGCTAGAAGAGTACCCGTGTTCAAGGCCCCACACTTGGATGAAGAAATAAGAGGAAAAAGGAAAGAAATACATGCAGGAAAGTCCCACTACTAGCTTTTAACTTAAATTGCCTCTATAGCCCTTTATAGCTTTATATATGTTAAAGGCTTACTTTAAGTAGTTTGTGTAAGAACTGGTGGACCGAAAAATGTTATGCTGGCATGATACTTTGGCTGAAACAATGACTACTTAATGGGCTCATTAACACCTTTCCACATTTCACTTATTTTCATGCGTTTAAAGCAAACAAAACCAAAAGCATAAGATTTACTGCAAAACCCAGAATTGGAAAATTATTTTACCAAAAGTTAAATTTGTCAGGTTTCTGAAGGGCCTATTATCATGTGCAGGTACATTTTATTCATGAAACACATTTCTCTTACAGGTGTGTATAGGTGTGAATAAGCCATAAAGAGATAAACACGATTTATCCTCAAACACAAAAACATTCATGTGCAATGCTGAAATATTCCTTACTTTACAATATCAGTGAAAAAAAAATAAACTGCTCCAAGATGAAAGGCTCTTCACACCTAGCGTCAGGACTACACAACACACCCTGATAGGTCCCAGATATGTACTTAACACAGAAAATCAGTGTGGTATGCTCAGAGGTTATAGGCAAGTGTTCCTCAATAAAAGGCCAGATATGGATGAAGCAGCCTTTTTTAACATATAACTAAACTAATCAAACAGCCATCTTATGAGGATGTCAAAAATGACAGCAAGAGACATGCATCTTTATGTATTAATAAATACACATTCAGAAGAACCCAGGCAAAATTCACACAGCAGCAGTTGATCACATACATTCTTTGGGAAGTCCAGTAATCCCACTGGAATGTGCAATGTTAAAGTTCTAATCTACATCTATGAGATAGTAAATATGGTAGCAGCCCAGCCAGTTGGAGGTATGCAAGAAAAAAATTGGAAAATCTAGACAAGAAACTATCATCTTAAATGGGATTTTCCATGTTACCCCAGACTTGGTAACCCTTGCCAATTTAAATTTGATATTCAGGAGAATTATGTATTTCAGAAAGGTAGGAAATGGGGCAGATAGCACACTAACATTTAATTTCCTTCTACTTCTACTTTCCCTCAGTACAAACTCTGTACTGTAATAACTAGGTTGGCATTGTAATTTAAAAAAAAAAAAAAAAAAGGAAGAAAAAAAAAAAAAAGTCTACTTCCATTCAAGGTGCTCTGCAAATCGCAGATCATTTGATTCTACCCAGACTTATAAGTGGATGTCACGTTTCCCATGTGTAGTCTCTGAAGGCAATCTGAATGAGACGTAGTTCAAGCTGAAAGGCATCTGGACGCTCCTGAGGGTTAGCAGACAACATCTGTTGCAGCAATTGTTTCATGCGCCGATTCATCGTTTTTTTCTTGATGGGAATAGGAAGCTCCATTTTGGGGTTCTCAAGCAGTGCTTCTCCCACTGGAACAATTTGTGTCCCCCGTTGAACATAACCACCAAGCAATCTTTTTTTGGTGTGACTGTCCAAGATGGTCAAGCGCTCAAGCATGGCCCACAGTATTACTCCTAGAGCAAAAATATCCGCTTTTGCCGTATAATGGCCCTCCCACACCTCAGGTGCCATGTAAAAATCAGTTCCACAAGCAGTAGATAAAAAGCTCTTGTTGACACTGGCTGGTTCTTCGGGGTTCAAGCCTGAAGTAGAACATACTTTACTCAGCCCAAAGTCTGCCACCTTCAGGGTAGGTTCATCCATACCATCACGTGCTTTACACACCAGAATATTATCAGGCTTTAGGTCACGGTGTATTATCTGGTTTTTGTGTAGAAATGCAAGTGCACTACTTAGTTGCAACATGAAACTGGTGTTGGTTCGACGACTTGGTCTTCTAGTTAGGATGTACTCGTTCATATCTCCTCCATCACAAAAATCCATCACAAACCATAGACAATAGGTACTGCGTGGGTCAAAGGCAATTTTGCCTTTTAGAGAGGTTTCCACCAACTTCAAGAAAACAAGAAAAAATATAATTGGGAAATTAAGTTATTTAGTATTCCAAATCATATGCACAAAACACTAGAGTTAAAAATAACATCAATCTACCAAACTACCAAAGTAATGCAAAAAGCTGAACATTACTCTTGCATAGAACACAAAATACAACTAAAACATTATTCAAAGAACAAAATACATATATCGTTTATTCTAAAATAAAAATGAAAAGTTCAATTTGTATATTCTTCCCATATTCACTTATGTGTTTAAATTAATAACATTATAAAAGATACATAAAAATTCAGCCATTTTTGAATATTACACTTACAAAGCATTCAATAAGCAATGTACACATATAGAATGGACTCCTGTAACACCCACTTGAGGAACAGGCCTACATTTTATAGGCTCCTCAGCATGCCCATAAATACACGTGCTGAGTTTGCTGCAGATTAGGCTACAGTCACACAGGTGCTTTGCTGCCACGTGAATAGCAGCAGCAAGAATCTACACATTTCTGCCGTTTTTGACAGGTGTGATCAGTTAGCTGTGACCATCCAGCGTACACTTCCAATGGAAGGTTGTCATGGCCACAGCTAGTCATGGCCGTTCACACAGCCATGCACAGCCATTACTTGCACTGAGGCAAAACACCTGTGTGAATTTAGGCTGTTTCAGAGCAAATGTAAGATTAACTGTTTGGTGTATGAGATGAAGTTAGCTTCCAAGGCCACTCATATACTGGAGGGATAGGACAGAAAAAATAGATCATAAAACGTTATAACGTTATATATATATCGTAATCATACAACCACTATTACTGTTCTGCATGGTATTCAGAAATTCAGTTAAGACAGTTAAAGAGAGAGACCAATGACACAAGTCAGACTACCCAAACCTGCCCTTATGACCAAGTTTTTATGTGTATTGCCAACTAGAGGATCTTGAAACAATTGTACTTTATCACTCTTGCACTGGCAAGAAAGAACATACGGAGCTAATTTACTGAAGAGATTTTTATTCTAGCTTGTATTCAGGTTTAGTTATTCTATCAGGTTCATTGGAATAAGATCACAAGGCTAGGGAGAAAATTACTCTCAGTAAAGCAGCCCAATTTTTATGTGTCAGTTCTATAAACATTTATGTTATTGCCCTGCCTTTTCCTCACCGGAAGATAAAGTGCTGAACTCGATCCATGTAACATGCGTTGAACAGTCCCATCTCTCTGCAGGACACACTCTTCCAAGTGAATTACATTAGGATGTTGGCCCTGGATGCTGCTTAATGCCCAGAACTCTCTCAGTGCCAATTCAACATTCTCTGGTGCCTGGCAGCGGATTTTTTTAACTGCTACTCGCTGGCATGTCCTGCGAACTAAGGCCTCGTACACCACTCCATAGCTGCCACGGCCTACTTCCTTTATCAGGTCTACTTAGGCTGGCTACTGACCATCTTCATGCTTACTAAAGGGGAAACAAAATGATATGTTACTGAAAAAAAAAAAAAAAAACCACTAAAATTTACTGTATTGATTCTTAAAAAATTGTTATTAAATACTTTCTACATATGTGCAAATCTGACTTTCATTTTAGAGAAAGGTAAAGTCATGCACTGATGTACAGCCCTAAATTACCATTGCAACCATACATCATTGGTAAGTACAACACGAAAAATGAAGGAACATTACATTAACTATAAGAGACAGGGTTAAAAATAGGTTAGTTTAAATAGATCCATTTAAAGTGGCCACTGAAATCCACAGCAAACCACTCAGGAGTCTGAACACAACTTCCAGAGGAATCCCAAAACCTCAGGAGGTCAAGGTCTAGCACACTCCCTATTTCCTTCTACCAATTAGTGCACTGCCCAGCACACACGTGTTACAGATAGAGCACAGTGCAACCCTTCCAGACTGATTATGGGGCTCCCAGCTGTGTAGTTTTATAAGGATACAAAGTATTTTATCACTACAAACATACAAATTAAAATTAACCCATACTTAGCCTCAGCAAGGAAACTAACAGAACTGACATCAGATGTCTATCAACACGTTGTCAGTTTTGTTTCTGCTCATGATCTGGTAACCCCCAAAAATGTTATGCAAATGCAGCCTTTCTGAAGATCAGTATCTGCACAGGGCAAGGCATAAGCCAACCCTATTCCACATGACATTTTTAAGGTCTGGTGACCAGCCACTAAGGCACCAAGTGCTGCATTTTGGGGGAAAGGTTGGGAGTGTGCAATTTTCCCAATACCCCGAAGGATGTTGCAGTGCATTAGGGGTGGTTTTGCTAGCAATGTACGAGCAGGTACCCTATGCCTGCTGTACATCAGTTTTGCTAATTTATTTGCTTTGGAGAGATTACAGGTTTTCAAAATACAAAATAATAACAACAACAGGCACTAAAAAGTCACCAAGTCATTTCTACAAGCTAGTGGGCATTCTTGAAAGTCAATTGCACTCAAAACTGATATTTTAGCTTTGAATAACCACTAACAAGTTATCCCCACCCTGATACATTCCACACAATGCAGAATAAAAAAGCAGTTAGGAAGGTTAACTTCAGAATAAAAATATCCAAATGCAGAACAATCTATGAAAGGTTTCCTCTTACCTTCACTTGAAAAAGCTTTCACATCATAAACATTTTCACCAGGGATTTTCAGTATCACACCACTGCGCCAAATAGCAGCTTGCATTGCGAAAGAAAAGGTGCAGTAACACCTGCTACATCTGTAGACAGTGACTGTGGGAAAATCCAATAGATATTTAAATTAATGAACACAGCAACAAATACATGACAGTCTAAATTCACAAAATTACTTTGTTGTTGCAAAGTTACATTAAAAAATCACCAGAACAAGGATTTTTATTCTCAAAATGTGACAGCTAATTTAATAAGATTTGAAAACTCAGTCACATGACTAAAAAGATACTTAGGTTCAGTTCACAATACTTTCACTGAGAAATATTATGCACAATTCAAAAGTAGGTAAATCACTTTCTAACATTTAGTTGTTTCCCAAAAATAGTTTTTTTATCTAGTCCAGTTGGCTTTTGACTGTGGTGGCTACATTCTGTGTGATAGCGTCATGAGCAAGTTTAAGCATTTAAACTCACGCTGCATGCATACAGCTTAACTAGCTAATGCCTAAGTTTGGAGTAGCTTACTACATACTGTGGTAAGGCTAATCCATGGTACTGTGCAAACTGCAAGGCTTAGACACACACAGAGACCCAGTTATAATGCAGAGGTAAGGATAAAAAATAAATAAAAACACCTGCACAGTACAAATATACATAGTGCTTCCCTTGCTTTAGGATTCCAAGTCAAGCAAAGTCCCATTCATGTGAAAGAAAACACTCGGGAGAGGAGATTAGCCTGGTCACAGGATATCTGCACCTTTAAAGAGGAACTAAACTCTCCAATATATTCACCTCTACCTTCCAGCGATGCGGTGGTTACATCTCTAGCTGGCCAGTGTCATCTGCTCCCTGGGTGCGGTTTTTAGCCTCCTGGTTGGCCAGCGGGAGATGAGCTCATTCCGCATATGTGCACGCGAGTCAGTCGTTCCAGAACACCTATGAGCTTAATGTACATTCTGTAGAAAACTGCAAGGAGGCAGGCAAGTTTCCATTACTGCAGAAATGACATAGCATGTCTTTTCTGAAATAAAAAGCTGCCTGCTCACAGTTTTCTAAAAACAGTCATGAACACTTTCATCTTCTCCTGGGCTTCCTTCTGGGTTTGAATTCTTCAGCCACCTAATTAGTGGATGGGCCAGGATGATGTCACTCCCATGCATGGGCACGGGAGTTGTGTCATTGTGGCACAGAGCCATGTATGAAATATATGCTAAGCTAGGCATGTGTAGCTCAGTATACATTCAGGACAACACATGCAGACGGGCGATGAAAAGGATTTATGGCAGAGGAAAATAGGGTCTCTTTCATCACAAAAAAATTCTGTCAGACATTTTTTAATATTTATTTTAGTACCGCCTTAAAGAAGAATTCATTACCTCCAGGCATATCTTCCCTAAATCTACTTATTTCTGTGTTTGCCCCAGGATTGGTGCTTTGTTAGATTAAAGTTAGGGACCACACTATAAAGGGTTCTTGACCAGGAGTGAGCTCAGGTGTGTTTAGATCCTAGTTCAAACCCACCTGAGCTATCCCACAAGGAAGCTGTCACTGCATAAAGCCAATCATAAGCAGGCAAGGCATTCCCCACCCCGCAGACAGGCACATAGGCACCCCTTGTATGCGCACGGCTGTGGGGCGGGAAATGCCTCAGCTGCTTCTGATTGGCCTAGTACACAGACAGCCTTCTGGTGGAATAGTGGGTTTGGATAAGGCTCCGAGCATGCCTAATATCATCCCAAACCTTAAGGCTTCCACAGAGATTTGCCTGTGGGCTGACAAAAAAAAAAAAAATCTAAGTTTCCCCCAGCCAACATTTCCCCACCTGGCTCCTTCATTTTTTTAATGGATGTCAAGCCAACATGACCACCCATAATACCAATTTCATCAGGAACCACCCAAAATCTGAACAATGTATTACCAGCTTAAAGCTGGCCATACATGGATCAATATTTGGCCAGTTCAGCAGGACCCAGACAAATTTCAATTAGTGTGTAGGCCTCTGTTCTTCAGGAGCGGCTTCTGTTGAACTGTGGGAAAAGCAGCATGCGATCAGCACATGCAGCAAATCAGCTGCAGCGCATTCTGGGAGGTGGGCGGGGACCCACATTCAGAATACAAAGACAACACAGCAAGGAGGATTTTACCCATCCACCTTGAATGTGTAGATGGGGAAATTGGATTTTTTTCTTTCAACTGGCTGGCTGAGTGAAAAAAAACTGAGCCATGTATGGCCAGCTTAAAAGATAGGTTCACCTTTTGGACAAAAATAATAAATGCACATTTTTTTTGCAGGTAAACGTGCATTATTTTTGTCCAAAGGAGTATGGAAAGCCCTGCACCAGCGATCAGTAGATCGCTGATGCCATGTACAGTTGCAAGAAAAAGTATGTGAACCCCTTGGGATTATGTGGAGTTTTGCATGAATTGGACATAAAATGTGCTCTGAACGTCATCTAAATCACAACAATAGAAGAACACAGTCTGCTGAACATAATACTACACAAACATTAGATGTTGCCATGGTTTAATTGCACATAACATGTAAACATTCACAGTGCAGGGAGGAAAAAGTATGTGAGGCCCTAGCTTAATGACTTCTCCCAGAGCTAATTGGAGCCAGGAGTGAGCCAACCTTGACTCCAATCAGTGTGATGATATTGGATGTGTTGCTGACAGCTGTCCTGCCCTTAAAAAACACACACCTGTTTTGGGTTTGCTGGTTTCAAGAAACACTGTCTAAAGTGAACCATGCCTCGCAGAAAAGAGCTCTCAGAAGACCTATGATCAAGAATTGTTGACTTGCATGAAGCTGGAAAGGGTTACAAAAGTATCTGCAAAAGCCTTGATGTTCATGTGTCCACGGTAAGACAGACTGTCTACAAATGGGGAAAGTTTAGCACTGTTGCTACTCTCCCTAGGCGTGTTCGTCCTGTAAAAATGACTGCAAGAGCACAGCGCAGAATGCTGCATGAAGTAAAGAAGAATCCCAGAGTGTCAGCTAAAGACCTACAGAAATCTCTGGCACATGCTAACATTTTTGTTGACACATCTACAATAAGGAAAACATTAAACAAGAATGGAGTACATGGGAGGACACCACGGAGGAAGCCATTGCTGTCCAAAAAGAATATTGCAGCACGTTTGAAGTTTGCAAAAGAGCACCTGGATGTTCCACAGCACTACTGGCAAAATATACTGTGGACAGATGAAACCAAGATTGAGTTGTTTGGGAAGAACACACAACACTATGTGTGGAGAAAAAAAAGTCACAGCACACCAACATCAAAACCTCATCCCCACTGTAAAACATGGCGGAGGGAGCATCATGGTTTGGGGTTGCTTTGCTGCCTCAGGTCCTGGACGGATTGTTGTCATTGATGGGAAAATGAATTCCAGAGTTTATCAAGACATTTTGCAGGAAAATGTACGACCATCTGTCCGCCAACTGAAGCTCCGCAGAGGATGGGTGATGCAACAGGACAATGACCCAAAGCATACAAGTAATTCAACAAAACAATGGCTGCAACAGCACAGAATACGCCTTCTGGAGTGGCCCAGTCAGAGTCCTGACCTCAACCCGATTGAAATGCTGTGGCATGACCTTAAGAGAGCGATTCACACCAGACATCCCAAGAATATTGCTACACTGAAACAGTTTTGTGAAGAGGAGTGGTCCAAAATTACTCCAGATCGTTGCGCAGGTCTGATCTGCAACTACAGGAAACGTTTGGTTGAGGTTATTGCTGCCAAAGGAGGGTCAACCAGTTATTAAGTCCAAAGGTTCACATACTTTTTCCTCCCTGCACTGTGAATGTTTACATGTTATGTGCAATTAAACCATGGCAACATCTAATGTTTGTGTAGTATTTTGTTCAGCAGACTGTGTTCTTCTATTGTTGTGGCTTAGATGACGTTCAGAGCACATTTTATGCCCAATTCATGCAAAACTCCACGTAATCCCAAGGGGTTCACATACTTTTTCTTGCAACTGTAGGTCTCCTGCAGACCTGTCAGAATATCTGCTTTCCGTACACAGCGCCGTGGTAGTTAATTGAAAACTACAAGCCCACAGCCGCTAAGGTTGTCGGGACTTGCAGTTCATTTATTCAGTCCATGAATGAATGACAAGGCCGTGTGGGCGGAGACCCGCATGGCCACGATGTTTTCAAATCTGAGAGATAGTACAGGGAAACTTCTCTCTGTACTATCTGTCAGAGGGAGGGGGGCGGCGGGCACGGCTGCAGCTATGAGAACATGTTACATGTTCCACCCTAAAAACGGATGGAACTTATCCTCTAAAGCCAGCCATAGATGGATCGAATTTTCACCCAGTTCAGCAGGGACTGGCCAAGATTTGATCCATCTAAGGGCAGGCTTGGTTGTACTGAAGTCGATCGTTTGGTCAACTTCAGTACAACCAGCCTGTCAGCTTTTTTGCATGCTATCATTGTGTTCTGCCAGCAGTGAAGGCTCACTGCTGCCAGAACATAATAGCACTGCGGGAGGAATTCCCCCATTAACACAGAATTTTCTTTCCTGCAGCCTGTGATTGCAGGAAAAAAAAAAAAAAACAACGCATATGGCCCCCTTCACATGAGTAATCCAGTCATGCCCGCCTGTCAATTTTTCAGGCAGACCTGACTGTATAGTCCATGCATTCCTATGGACCAACAAGTGTAAATGGACTTGTGTAAAAAAAAAAATAAAAAAATTAAAAAAAAAAAAAACACGGAAGGGGATCTACCCCACTCAGTCTAGGGCACGGGTGTCAAACTGGTGGCCCTCCAGCTGTTGTCAAACTACAAGTCCCATGAGGCATTGCAAGTCTGACAGTTACAAGCATGACTCCCAAAGGCAGAGGCAGGATGGGACTTGTAGTTTCACAACAGCTGGAGGGCCGCCAGTTTGACCCCTCTGGTCTAGGGGGAATCGGATTACAGGGAACAGACAGCTGATTTGTTTACACCTGACCACCCACAGAGCACAGCAGGCTCTGTTCATGTCCACTCTACATAAACTGTGCTGACAAGGATCTGTCATATCAGCGGACAGATCCCCTGCTCAGCAAATAAGATTCCATCCAGTGTGAGAGGGG